GGTTCAATCACCAGTACCAAAAAAAAAAAAAAAAAAAAATCTCATCTCTACCCTACCATGGCATAGTACAGACTTAACACTTGTAACCCAAAAATCCAAAATGCTCTAAAATCCAAAACTTTGAGCACCAAGGTGATGGCTTGAGTGGAAAATACCACACCAAGCAACTGTGGCTCATGAACACTGTGCAGGTTACTGTGTCCCCCCGCCTTTATGAAACGTAAATGAATTTCATGCTAGATTGCAGTTCCATGCCTAGAATATAACACACGTATTGATAGGTTCTGGCCTTGGTATGAATTACTGGAATCATCATGGTGGTCATCTAATATGGCTGATGCCCTTAAAACAAATGCCTATCTTCCCGAGTCCACCTCCCTCTTCTCCAGCTTAGTCCAGGGTACAATTTCCTTTCAGGTATATCGAAACATCCCCTTCAAACTCCACCCCTGGCAAAAGGTCACAAAAGCCTCAGCCTCCCTTTGTTCAACTCCCGAGAATTTCTTCCCCAAATTCTCTCCGCATCCTCAAAGAAAATAAAGTTCCTTTTCCTTTTTCCTTCTGCCTGTTTCTCTGCTGCGCTGGGCACCTGGAAAAAACTATCATGTATATGTACATCTTCCGAAATGTTCAGGGGGCCCAATTTGTGTTGTTGTTGAGACGGGGTCTTCCTGTGCAGTTCAGGCTGCCCTCCACCCGCTGCACAGGGGCCCAGGCTGGCCTCACATGGGCGGCAGCTCCTGCCTCAGCCTCGAGTGCTGGGATTACAAGGTGAGAGTCTCCGCATCTGGGTGGTCCCACGTACTTTGGATAAGGGGGATTGCCTGTATTAAAAACCAGGATTTGTTAGTAATGAACTTCAACTAACTTTAATCAAACAAATACTGCAGGCTGGGGATGTATCTCGGGCATAGCACCTGCCTGGCAAGCAAGAGGTTCTGAGTTCAATTCCTAGTACAAAAAAAAGTCAAACAAATACTATGATGGTAATGCTGTTTTAATTTCATAAAAAGGTAGGCATTAAAATGATTTATTTGAAAACTTGACTGCAAATGCTTTAGTGATGTCTCATTGCTTTGTAAGTACTTTTGAAAGGCAATCTTTAAAACAGAAACTTTATAAAAACTGAAAGAATAAGTACTTTATTGTTTATAGTAGTTAATAAATTTTCAAAAGGATATCAAAAAAGAAAATTAACAATAGGAAATTAAAATTAAGGGTTTTAGGAGGATCATTAAGAGTCTGATCTACACTGTGAAACCCTGCAGACCCCGTAGACCCTGTCCTAAAATATACAAAATAAATAAATAAAATAAAGCGTTTTTTCATCACTCTTCAAGCAAGTTTTGGTTCACTTGGGGCCTGGAAACGTCAGGACCCAGAACAACAATTAGCAAGTTAATGAAGATGGTAGTTTCCACTCATGGCCAAAGGCGCTCTCGCAGCATTCCCTAAGGTGCTGGAGTCTTGGAGCCTGAGAAGCCAGGACCAGGGCAGAGAGCTTGTGGCCACTTTGTCATGATGAATGTGCTGCTTTGGCAGCAATGATGGGGAGCCTCACACCACCCAGCAGAGCGGGAAGCTTGAGAAGCTGGGGGCTGTGAGTGTCGGGGTTCAGAGCCGTCCCAGGAACCCGGCCCTCAGCAGGCCGAGGTGCTGCTGCCTAGGATGGGCAGCTCCAGCTCCGGTGCCTGCCTCTTGATTCTTAGGGCCTGAGAGGGAGGCACACTGACTGGGCCAAGCAGACACGGTGGGGTGGCGGCTGACTTCCCCTCTCCTTCCTGTCACTCTGACTGGCCTGCTTCCCAGGCCCGTGCTCCTGCTGCCGGAGATAAGCCGCTAGCTGTCTGCGCATCTTCCTTCTAAGCAGCCAATAAGCTGCTTCAGCCAGTTCCTAAGACCTGAAACCAAACAGCCCTTCCTGTTTTTGAGTTTTGTTTTTATTTTTATCAAATGACGAATGTGCAAAGGGCCACGTGTTAAAATCTATAGAGCAGCCTTAGCTGCTTGGTAGATGTCAGCATGACTTTTACTTTATTCTTTGAGCTTCCTGAATTTTTTGGAGTTTTGTTGTAAAATGAGCTGTTTGGAAAAGCATGTGTCCTTAAGCTTTCTAGCAAATCTGGATAATACATCACTGCTGTGTGACTTGCTTTTTTTTCCCCCAAGTATTTTGTTTGGATGCATGTTTATTAGCTTACAGGGACACGAGGGGCTAAGCCTTCAGCACACACTGCAAGGTTCAGCTCCTGGGACCAGCGCTGTAGCTGCCTCTGAGTTCAAACAAAGCCAGAAGAGATCAAATAGATGAACAGCCTGGTGGCTACCTCATAACGTCAGCAATACTCCAGGTCGTGGACATGCTTAAATGCAATTTGTCAAAACCTGGTGGATGTTTTCCCTTTTTAAAATCTTGCCTTATTTGGGGCTTTACCCAAATATTGTTCTTACGGTTTTGTCTCAAGTATTGTTTGACTGTGCTCTATACTAGGAAGCATGAGATTAGAAACGGAAGTTAGAGCTATCCGTAGCAGCCCACTCACTCACTCCGTAATAAATCCTACCTTGTTCCTCCTCCACTACTTCACAATCTACTCCACAAAAGCTAGCTACGTTTAGAAAGTGGAAAAGCCAGGCGTAGTGGAAATATGGTTCCAAATGTAACCTTTCATTATTTTTTTGAGGGGGGAACCTCACTTGCAATCTGCGATCTTCCTGCTTCCACTTTCCAGGTGCTACCACTTGCTCAAAAGTTTTTATTACTGTGGTGGGTGTGCGTGCACAGGAGAGACGACCCAGAGCCTCTGCGCCGCGCCGCACGCCCAGAGTTTCTATTTTGACAGAGGGTCTCACCAAGTTGCACAACTGCCAAGCCTGTACTGAACCTTACGATCTTTCTGCCTTGGCCTCCCATAGTGCTGGGATTACAGACCTGTGTCACTGGGCCTGTCTGAAGATTTTTTTGTTTTTAAAGAAAATGACTCGGGCTGCTGGCACACACCTGTTATCCCAACACTCAGGAGGCGGGGGCAGAAAGAGCGCCAGTTCAGGGCCAGCCTGGAGCCCAACCCACTGCGCTCGCTTCAGCAGCACACACACTGAGCCACCACAGAAGCCGAACGGAAACACGCCAGCATGAGCACACCATGCCGAAAAACAGTGGGTTTTAAGGAATATCTCTGGTACAGGGTTTCGCTGTGCAGCCGGAGGCAGGGACAGAGCAGTATGCAGTGCCCAGGGCCAAACTCAGTCCTGTGCTTGCCAGGCAGATGCCCAGATGGCTGAGCTATCTCGAAGCCCCTTTTTAAAGGAATACAAAGGAGGGGCCACCCAAATAGCTCAGTGGATTAAAGTGCCTTCAAGCAGGTGCGGGGCTGGAAGTTTGGTCCCTGGGCCAACCCCCTCCCAGGGTCAGGCTGAGGCGTGGTAACCCACGCCTGTAATCCCAGCTCTTAGGAAGCTGTAAACAGGCGGATCACCACAAGTCCCACCTAGTAGTGAGATCCTGAACACACTATAGACCCTTCCCTGAAATACGAAAAAAAAAAAAAAAGAACTTAAAGGAACATAAAGGACTTTAACATTTTTAAATTTCTAAGAATGTGATTTTTTTTTAGAGAAAGGCAACTAGCAATGAATTATCTTGCTGAAATAAAAATTTCTAGTCCTTATTTTATAACTATTCATGTTCATTTTCATTAACGTGCGGTAAAATATTTCTATGCCCCTATTTTATATAGATATAACATATTAGATTTAGAAAACTATTTTTCATTCTTTTTCCACTACGTGAAAAATGTACCTTTGACCTATAAGAAAAACATTTATAGTGTGAAACAGACCATTTGAGATGAAATTCAAATCGACACTGAAGGGGGACATCTGCTACAAACAGTACCACTTAATTTTACGTAGAGGGTGACCCGGCGCTAGGATGGGAGCTGAGGTAAGGAAAGGAAAGAAACCACACAGACCCGTTCTAAAATGATCTCTGCACCTTTAATTTCTTAAAAGTCACGTTCACAGCACACTCCAAGCAATGCTTTACTGCTTTGTGTTAAACAGCATATGTCAGAAAACAAGTTTTAAAAATTAGTTCTCTGAAATTTCTGTCAATAATTACCAGTCATGTAAATCTGTTTCAGAATAGAGTAAACATTTCCAAAAAGTAATGGTTCTATCCAAAATCATACTCCTCTGAAAGGCATTAAAAACTATAATAGAAACAAAAAATAAACATTTTCCTAAGATTGTATTTGGCATTTTAAAATAATGTTAAAAGGGAAGCTCTCAAATGCAACTCCTGACTAGATTTTCACTTCCTACCAGCAGCGTTTGGGCCTCGGCGGCTGCGAGCTGACCCCAGTGCCCAAGCATGGCTACGTGGTAGTCGAGAGCCTCGTCCTGGCAGGGCCTTTTAGAACAGTGTCCAACAGGGGCCACGAACGTTAGCAACGGGGCCAGATCGGTCAACGAGCTGGTGAATGTGTGCCCAGGTTGTTTTACACATACTTTTTAACATCTCTAGTTGATCTGTTCTACTTCTCTCAAAAATTAATCAATGACAAGTATATTGTTTCAGTGAAATGTAAACCAAATCTGTTTTCCTGACTGCACTAAGCTACACGGCGGTCTTACTCTATATCCTCCTAGATAACTTACACTTTCCAACACCTGGGTCACAGCCCAAACTTTTCACTTGAAAGAAGAAAGCAGGAAGATAAATTTTAAAATTTCCCTAGGTAAGGGCTCTCCCACATTTCTCTTTCCAAAAGCCTCGATGGTTTTACTTAGACACGAGCACGAAACATGTGCTCATTTTCGTGGTGCACCAATACATGCACGGCCGTCTCTGCCCGCAACCTGAGGCCAAATCTCCACGCACCACCCCAAGGAGAGACGCTTGCCTTCGGAATCACGTCTGGAAAGAGAACTGGGAAGCGCTAATTGGAAGGTAACAGAGATGTGAGCAAAGATGCAACACAAAAGTGCGGGAGGAAGCAAAGGCTTCGCCACCTCCCTTGTAAACACACCTGACCTGGCCTCGTATTTTAGATCCTATTTTAGGATTGCATCACAACATTTCATAGCACGAGTCATGTACGGTTCGTCCAGTCTCCCACTGCTAGATGCCCTACAGCTGTTGAAGAACTATCATTCTGCCTATGAGAGGTAGTGACATTTTATTCTCAATGCCAAGCTCTAAATTCCACACATCTGCCACATGGGTTACAAGGGAGACGCACGAGAGCACCACGTCCGCTCCTGGGCGCTGGGGACCTGGGGGCGCCAGGGCTTGGCTCGCCGTGGGCAGCCGCTGACGCTACTCGGGGCTCAGTGCTGGAGGGCTGCCATCATCCTTCAGGAAGGCGGCCGCTTTCCTTCCGTTCTTCTGAACATGGTCTTCGTTCATTTTCTCCAAAGCTTCTATCTAAAGTCAACACATCAGGTTCATTTATCAAATTCCTACTTTGAAGGAACCACACTGTAGACTTAGGCAATATTTTTACTGTCTTAATAATTACCTAAGACAGAGATGGTGAACCTTTTAGAGAATGAGGGCCCGAACTATACTGTACCCCAAAACCAACTTGTGGAGCACATCGTGCAATTAAACCTGAATACCAATTTAGGGTTTTGTTTTGAAACAGGGTATCACTATGTAGCCCGGGCTGGGCGACCTTAGAGCAATCCTCCTGCCTCAGCCTCCCGAGCGCTAGGATTCCAGGCCTGCACCGCCATACCTGGCTACTATTTTAGTGAAAACTCCTCATACATTAACATTTTTTGACTTAAAAGCAAACAACACTCATGCCTGCCTTGAATTCCAATCAGTATGTGCAAGCTGGGCATGGGGATGAATGCGGACAATCCCAGCACTCAGGAGGCTGAGGTAGGAAGATCGCCATGCCACCAGTTCAAGGCCAGCCTGAACTACATAGTGAGACTGTCCCAAAAAACAAAGATAAGAAAACAGAATTATAGATGTACATATGGTGAAACAAGCCACTGGCAGCTGTCAGGACTTACTGTGTACAGACATGCTCCTCCTACACCTGAGCGCCATGCCTTGGACCAGGTCCTTACAGGACTCTGTCACTAAGTAAGGAACTGCACGCAGCGTGCACATTACAACATTCAGAACAAAGACTGGTCTAAGGAAACTCTGGCTTGGTGACTTCGCTTGTACTTGCCCAAGTCTTACATGCAGCACTGTAATGGGTAATATAAACTATAGCGCTGTACTGTAGACTACAATCAGGACAAACTGCAGCACTGCGTCACCAAGGCGGACTGCACCAAAAAGACATCGAGGCTCTATCAACAAGATGCATAGAGCTGTACCAAAAGGGCAGGCTACAAGTCCCAGCTGCGGGTCCCAAGTCTGAAAGGCGTTAAACAGGTAAGTCGCTAAGTGAGTAATGTCTGAAGCCTATAAAGCTTTCTGAGAATGGGGAAAAGGAAATGCCAGCATCTATTTGCTGAAAAACTGAAACAGCTACCGGTACTTACTGAGCTACTGCACTGGGGCTGAATTTCACTATCTTTTCGTTACCTCCCCTCTGACCTTCGGGTCCAGCTGGGAAGCTCGGGAACAGACTCTAGAGCCATTCTCTGCCTTGCTCTACGGCTGGGAACACTTAGCTGTTGCTTCACAACTTGGCTCAACGTTGTCTCCTTTGGAGGGAGCTGTGGGTTTTTTATGGTTCTGCAGCTCAGATACAGCGACTGAGTATTTTTAAGGAGGGTCACTGCTAACTCTCTGCTCTGTTAAGAGCAGGGTCTGAGCATCAGTGCTTTCAACAATTACTTTCCTCATTTAGGAAACAAAGGAAACTCTTAGAAATATGTTATTTGTCCTTCCTAATGTAAGTTTTAAGTCTGAAAAGACCAAACCCATCTCAAGAAAAGTTCCGAAGTCGTTCTGTTCAGGCTGTGAGCTTTGTCCTCCCTGCGGCTCTGGGCACCACTTACCTCGGCTAAGAAATCCGCTTCATTATCCGCCGAGATGTTCAAGCCCGAGACAGCATTAAAAAGGTCCCGCTCACCAAGGGCTTCCTTCACGCCTCCCTTCTGGAAAAACTGAGCAAAACACAAGAGGGCCAGCGAGAGCCATTAGCCAGGTTCTGTACAAACGGACGGGGTGGCAAGAGGCGCACTGTCCCATGCAGCCTGCCTGCTGGCCTCCCACACATCTGTACAGCCTGCTGGATCTGGTGTGTGGCGACCGCCATCTGCAGCCCGAACGTGACCTGCTGGGCACCATGGCTGTGCGATGCAACACATTCTACACCCCGAGCTGAAACCTTTCAAGCACACCTAGAAGCAATTTTCACATGAAGCTAGTCTTTTAGAAAGCCCTTTCCTACCTGACTGCTGCTAACCAAGTTCCCTTCAAAATGGCAGATGGGGTCCAACTCTGCTCACTGACTTTTACCTCCCTGAGTTTTGTCTTTTTTTTTTTTTTTTTGAGACAGGGTCTTGCTCTGCAGTGGTGGCTGGCCTTCAAGCCCACTGCATAGCGCTGACTGTCCTCAAACTCAGTGATCATCCTGCCTCAGCCTTTTTCTGTGCTGGTACGGATGTGCGCCACCAAGCTCAGCTATGCTTTTGCTAGTGATAAGGGCAGCAAGCACACGAGTCAACACGAGCTCACCCTTCACCAGCCTGGGTTTAAGAGCCATGGGCACAGTAAATGCCTACTCAGCTGTTTAAACTTTAGGAACCAATATTTTGCTCCTCAGCAATTATGAAATGTGAGGCCTGGCACCAAATTCTTACTGAAATGAAATCTGGCACATTGATCTTTGCATCTTTCATCCATCTCTAAGAACACAGTCCTCAAGTTCTCTAAGAACATGGTCCTCAAGTTCCCTAAATCTCTGGAAGGAGAAAATACGGGAACCTGTGCCACCCCCCCACATATAGCCCTGGTGACAGCCCACCTGGGAAACGTTCCTGCAGTCCCGGAACAGGAACTCCAGGCCGTGAGGGTGGGTCGGCTCCACTGACTGACTAACATCGATCAGCCAGACCTGGGAGACAGAGCACAGGGCCGTGTCACGGACAGGCGTCCCTCCCGGCAGGCAGCACAGCCCCAGCCCGCACCATCGCACCTCACCTTTCCGGCGTGCCACAGCATGTTGTACTCGCTGAGGTCAGCGTGCACCAGCATGCACTCGCGATACAACTGCTGCATCAGCTGTGAGGGAAAAGGTGCACGCTTAGAAGCAAAGCACAATTCTGACTTACGCACATGATTACTCATGGATAAAAATCTGTCTCTTCTAGAAAAATAAACCAAGCCCAAGAAGCTTCATTCCTCTGCTTTTCTTCTGTTTTGTGATGCTGGGAATTGAACTTGGGACCTGTAGCACCATGGGCAAGTGTTCTACGTTGAGCCACATCTCCAGCCCCAAACTCCCACCTCCTTTCTGCTCTGCATAACCTAGGACTGGGCTGCTGCTGCTGTTCAGGGAGGGCAGACACTCGGTGTGACAAGGCTTCCTTGCTTTGCTATAGCACGAGCAGGAATGGGTCAGATCTGCATTTCCATGTGGGTGTGACCACAGCCAGCTGCGGTGACAACCAGGGCACTGAGGTAGCCACTGCGCTCTAGAAAGGGCAAAGCCCCATGCAGACTCCATTGGGTTATATACACACATACATATAATTCCCAGGAGAAAGTGTTTCCCTCTGGACTTACGGTGGAGACCCACATCGATGCCTTGGCTGTCCTTCAGAGAATCAGACAGCATGGTCTCGCACCACCTCGTCTTGTGCCCAGTTATCTGACCTGCCAGGGGAGCCAGCGACACGGACTCGACTGTCCTACTCGCCAGCTCACCTGCGCCTTCACCTGGGTCAAATGTCCCCACTCGGCCCAGCTGCTGCGGGACCCTGGCGCCTTGGGTCTGGCCAAGCAGTGCAGATGGCATGGACAGCACAGGAGGCCTGGGCAAGGTCGGAGATCTCAGAGGAAATGTAGTAGCTGTCCCGCAGAGCAGGTGGCTCCCTTGGATGCCAGCACGGGGTCCAGGTTCCGACCGGAACAGCTGCACCCCACTCCTCCCTGCCCATCTTACAACAGACAACCCGCTTCCTCGACCTCCCTCCACTGTGCGCCCCCAGAAGCACACGGCCAAGACAGCACTACACTAGCCACACGTAGTAATGTAGTTTTATTTCAGCAAGTTTTCTGAAAAACAGCTTCTTGCTCTAAGTCACTAAGGTGAACAGGGAGCTTTCTCTCGCTCCAAGGAGTCCTACATTTCATAAAACCACTCCAGGCCATATACGGACACAGGAGGACTCAAGTTGCTTTCCTTCACAGACTTTAGCTTGTCCTTAACACCCTGAAACACTACACTTGGGGGAAACTGTTTGAAGCTTAGAGGGCATTGGGGGGGTCTCATTGTTGTCTCCCAGTGTTGCCCGAGCTGGCCTCAATGCGCAGGGTCAAAGGATGCTCCTGCCTCAGCCTCCCGAGTAGCTGGATCCACAGGAGTTTGCCACCACAGAGGAAATACTTGGAAAGTCAGCGCGTGAACCCTTCTCAAGGCACAACTTACGTGAAGAGTTTGATAGTAGGCGTCTGTCATTTCTTCACTACTCAGCTGTACTTCTTTTAGCTTAGGGGCTGGAACTTGATCGTGGCCAATAAAAGACATAACTAAAATGTGCTTCTTGAGCAGCACAACTGCCGGGCAAGGAATTCCAGCTTTCTGCATTCTGCACAGAGATTAACAAGCAAGCACAGAAAGATCAGGAGGAGAAAATGTCATTTCGTCAACAAATACCTAACCTGACCCAGCACAGCATTCTACCTGGGCAGCGTGGCTCAACACACACGGCAAGGCCAGCCTCTGCCGACAGAGAAGCCACATAGTGGGCGGAGTGGGGGGGGACGAAGGAAAAGGCGACAGCAGCGCAATACACGCATGGGCGAGACGTGAGCGGGTCCCATGGAAGGCTTCCCGGAGGAGGCTCTTCTGTGACAGTGAGGAAATGAGGGGCGCTCAGGGCACGGCCACTTGGAGGGCACCAGCACCAACACACCGGGCCAGGAGGAGAGGGACAGGAGATTGGGACTGAGCCTCGAGGCCAAGCTGCGGGTCAGGAGTCTGCGTCCACACTAAACATGGTGAAAAGCTCACACAGGGCCCCCAGGCTACACAGGACAGGACAGCAAGACCTCCAAGACTTATTCTAGAAAATTCTAAGGAGAATTTGCAACTAACACATATAATTACTTTTGAAAACAAACATCTTTAGAAAGCAACTAAAACTAAATTTGATATCTAATGACAAGATTTATTAGTAATAAAGTTTATAACTTTCTTGGTTAATATAAGAAATTCCTTCACAGGAAAAAAGCTGCAGAAAACTAAGAAAGTCCAATACAGCAAACTGCAATTTGATTAAGACCATATCCCATCAAATTAATAAATTAGATGTAATAAACAATATTGTATAAGGAAAAAAGGGAAATCATTATTTGTGCTAAGCTTAACTGAAAGCTGGACATTTTAATTCTTAGACAATTTAAAGGAACATTTAGAATAATGAAATATCTAAGCAGAAAATGCCTACGTCTCCCCTCAGAGTCTACATGCTGACCATTACACCATGGAACCCTACGTCTCCCCTCAAATCCCAGAAGAAAATGGCCTTTTCATTCCGAAAGAATGAATTCAGCTCAAATGTATGGAGATATTTTCTCATGAAGGCCTCAGTAAGCACCAGAATTGCAAGGCCTTTTGTCATTTCTACAGATGAATGGAAGAGGAAGCGTGGATTTTTTGCCCAGCTAATAGTCCTAGTACAATAAGGCCAAGAGAGATGATGTCTAGCACATGATTTTCTTTACCTTGTGAGATTGTGCATTTCTTTTTCTGCCCACATGCGGATGATCTTACGTGGATTTAGTCTACTGAAGCGATCTTTAAACCTGAAATCATCTTTAATGTATTTGTCACGGTTCTTAAATTCATTAAGGGTTGTTTTAAATACCTTAATGGCACACTCTGTAGGAATAGCTTTAACATCTTCCTTTCCATCCTCCATGCTAAGTGGAAGAACAAACATTATATCAGTACAAGTTTTCAGCTCACAAGTAAAACGATTTCAAGGGCTGGGGCGATGGCTCAGTAGAATAAGCACTTTCCTGGCAAGCGCAAGGGACTGAGTTCAAGCCCTGGTTCCGCAAAAAAAAAAAAAAAAAAAAAAAAAAAAAAAATTCAAAATAAAGATTCTGTACCAGGCAATTGCCTCTCCCTGCTCTGAGAGCGTCAGGTCTCGGCTTCTGTATGTCTTCCAGTTTCTGCTCTTAATTAAAACCTTAGCTTGGGAGTTGTGTTGTTGACTGCGCAAGCTTTCTCCAATGCCCAGAACTCTGAAACTCTTAGGACTACTCACTTGCCACTGTCCCCAGCTTATTTTCTTTCTTTTCTTTATGAATTTAGGACAGGGTCTACAGGGTCTCACTACATAGATCGGATTCCTAGTGATTGTTTTCAGCCTCCCAAATGCTTGGATTACAGGTGCGTGCCACCACGCCCAGTCTCAATGGGGCTGTCTCAGCAACCTGGGGGCGGGGCTGGCTGATCGAACCCACCCATGATCTTACGTGGATTTAGTTTACTGAAGCAATCTTTAACCTGAAATCAGGGGCTGGGGAGATGGCTGAGTGGAATAAGTGCTTCCCTGGCCTGACTTCAATCCCTGGTTCTGCCAAAAAAAATCCCAAAAAACTGAAATCATCTTTAATGTATTTTGTCACGATTCTTAAACTCATTAAGGGTTGTTTTAAATACCTTGATGACACATCTGTAGGAATAGCTTTAATGTCTTCCTTTCCATCTTCCATGCTAAGTGGAAGCAAGCTGGGGATCAAACCCCGGCTATTGTACTCTGCCTAAGCAGGTGCTTTAGTCCGCTGAGCTATCTGGCCGACTCTTCTTTCTTTCTTGGACTGGAGATTGAATCCAGGTCCTTTGCACTGAGCTGTATTCTCACCTTTTTTTTAAATTTTGAGATGGTCTTGCTAAGCTGCCCAGGCTGAGCTTGAACTCATGATCCTCCTGCCTCAGCCTACCAAATTTAAACAGTGTTCACCTCATGACTATGTAATCAAAATTGGGAAACAATGCAAAGATCTGAATGTTAAAAGGGCTAGTCTACCTAGGCAAATTCAAAGGTAAACTTCAACAGAAGCAATATATAGCTCTTCAAAAATAACTGGCTCACTCAGGACAGATGTAAAGATGAAGCGGGGTCCCAGCCCCAAGTGTGCAAAGGGGCCCAGAGAGGATAAAGACCATGAGGGGACAAGGCCCTTTGGCAGTGGGCACAGGAGAGCCTCAGACAGCCAGGAGAATGGGTCGGTGGGGTTTGGAGAGGACTAGGGAGTGGGTAAGGTGGGATGAGCCCTAGGGTGTTGGAGAAGCCTCAGGGGAGCTGCAGGTGAAGAGGTGCGAAGGGCCCCAGGGTGGGAGGTACCCCAAAGGTAGCCAGGTATGGAAGTGGGGATGTGAGGATCTAGTACTGGCACCCAGGAGTGGCCAGGGAGGAGAGCTGGGTCCAGAGGAGAGGGGAGGCAGCAGGTGCGGAGCGCAGTGACCCCTCTCCTACCAACTGCTACCACTGATGACCACTCAGTGGGGAACCATGCCTCTTCCCTTCCCCTTGGCCCCTGTGCAACAGCGTCCTCAGCTTCGCTGTGACCTGGGGCAGCACCCACACTTCTTTCTCTTCCAGGTCTCATTTTCCCTGGAGCCTCAGGCCTGTTTGGTCTAGCGGGGGGCCATTTGCCCCTCCCCCAGGAAGGGGGCCACGTGAGCCACTCTAGCTGAGCACCCCACATCCACCTGACAGCACAGGGCGGACTGCCCACTCTGCCTTCTACACACACAGCTCCACACTCCTTCCTTTACTCTCATGCCACTGAGTCCAGCCACCATCCTTGAACTCACCATGGAGCCCAGGCTGCCCTGGAACTCACAGTGACCCTGCCGCCTCAGCCTCCCTAGCTGGGATGGCAGGTGTGTACCACCACACCCGCTTCATTCATCTTAAAATAATCTGTACCATTAAGTTATATTTACATGGTTTCAGAGAGCCCTCAGTTGAAATTTAGAAAGGGAAATAAAGCTTAAAAGCAGAAATAAATCTCCGCTAAGATTATTTTCTAAATCAGGTATCATCATAGATGCTCTCATTTACTCTCACAAAAATCCTATTTTTTGAGGTAGGAAATTCAAGCGATGTTTGGTAAGCTATGAAATCACATAGCTTGAAAAATGATGCTCCAATGTTAATTACTTTTCTTTTAACCTTTTTTTCTCTTTTTAGCACTAGGTCAAACCCAGGGCTACACGAATCTTGCACTTTACATTGACGTACAACCCTGAGCCCCAATTTTCTCCCATCCCGGGAACTGAGTCCAAGGCTTTTACATGGGGTTACACCCCCAACTCCTTTATTTTATTATTTTGAGACAATGTCCTGCTAAGTCCCTAAGTTGTCTACCCTAGACTCACCCTGTGATCCCCTCCTCGGCCTCCAAGTGTGGGGATTACAGTTGTGTGTCAGCACACCCAACTCCCAGCATTCATTTTTGCTTTATTTTACAGAATAATTCAATACATGATCATATGTAATTGTCTTATCTAGAAAATGAAACAAGTTAAATAGCTAAGGAATATAAATAACTGTGTAGAACACGTTTTAAATGACTCTGCTTGCAATGGAGCACTAACTTTGACCTTGTACAAACCCACCCACGGGGCTGAGGGCTGTGTGCTCCTGCTCATTTACCTCCCTCCATATGCATGAAAGACAACGGACTCCTTCCCTGTGCTAATGCAGCCAGTGATGGTCTCCAGCAGCCCCGAGTTGACCATTTTGTACATGAGCAAGCGGGTCTTGGGGTCAACCGCTTTTTCCTGCAAAAGAGAAGGCATGGTGAGAACGATGCTACTTCACGAAACGCTTCCTGAGCCATTTCCAATAGCTAACACTCAAAATTCATCTGTATCTTTTAAACTTTTATTATTTAATATATATCTTTATGTCAGGCTCCAAAAAACATTCTATCAAGTTACCGCCCCCCCAAAAAAAAACCTTAAACAGGAACTAATAAAAAATAAAAAGAGCCAGGCATGGTGGTGCACACCTGTAATCCCAACCCAGCAGCACTCAGGAGGCCTAGTTAGGAGGATCTCTGAGTTCAAGACCAGCCTGGGCTACACAGAGTGTTCAAGGCCAGTCTCAACTACACAACTGAGACCCTGCCTCAAAAATAAAATGAAACAAAACAGCTCCAACATCTGTGAAAGTGAGTCCCTGCGGAAATGCTGGCGACCCTAGGGCACACAAGCCCCAGTGAGTGTGGAGGGAAACCTCTGTTGGCACCTGAGCCAAGTGCACGAGTTGTTTTTCTAAACTAAACCCTCAGCATTCAGGTCTCACTGCAGAGTCAGCACTGTGTGAAGCATAAGCGGGTTGTGAGCTGCAGTCTGAGCGCGCGGTCTCTGAAGTGCTCGTCATCTCTGACCTACAAGGACAGTCACCAGCCAGACCTGCGGTGGTTCTGGGTGCGGCCTAGGTCTGGCCCTTTAGCTCAGGCAGGACACGAGTGTGGTCAGGGGCCAGGGCCTGAGCCAGCACTTCTGTCCTCACACACAGGCCTTCCTGAAGGGCAGCCCCAGAGAATCATCAGGGCTGACACAGTGACTGAGGTCCCAAGTGGAGGGAGAGGACTTCTGAAGGTGATGCCCCAGAGGGGCAGGTTCTGAAGGAGGACACAGGAAAAACAGGGGACCAAGCACCTCAGATTCAGTCTGTCCATGGCCTGTAAGGGTCCCACCACCGCAATGGCAGTGTCGCCTAAGAAGGAGCTCAATGGCTGTGCCCCACAGACTCCGGGGAGAGGCTAGGCTAGTTCTGCTACCGCCCACCAGGGCCCCAGTGTGAAGACCCAGGTGCTGAAGATGCTGAGGGAGAGATCCCAGGCACTCCGGCCCCAAGCACCTGTAGGCCCGGGCTCTGGGGGGCCCTCGCCCAGTGTGGCTGTCGCCGTCTCTTCCTGGCATACGTGGCCTCCTCATCCCAACTCCGCACTCGCTGCGAGAGACAGGGCAGGGCTGGGGAGGAGCTGAGGGCTCTGGCTTCTCCAAGAAAGACTGACCTGGGGCCTACACCCTCCTCCCAGGTAGGGCACTCAGGGGCACCATGGATAGAGAGGGGCACGATCCTAGATGGACCCATGGCCCTGGCAATGCTGGGTGGCAACTCAGGGCTCCTCAGCCTCTGCTACGTTGGCCTCCTCTGGAGCCCTCCCCTTTCCCCACTGTCCCTGCAGAGACAAATGTGCCCCAAAGGAGCAAATCAAAGCCTGGGAAAGGGAGTGACACTGCCTGCCCCAGCCAGGGGACATAGGGGGTGAGTGGTGGGTAGGGGTGGTCTCTGCAGAGAAGCTGCAGGGTGCCCCTTCCCAATATCCCCTGCCTACTGCCCTGGAGCCTTTCCTGTCTGCCAGGCTGGCACTTGCAACACACAGACAGCTCTGGAGATGGCGGAGACCACAGCCCCTTTCTTTCTGCAGGACTGAGCTCCCACGCCTGCCCTGTGGGTTCCGTGTGGCTCCCTGAAGCCTGCTGGGCTTTTTCCAGAGCTAAGCCTATGGCTTTCATATTCAGCCTTTAACCCAAAACCTGAACCTGAGACCCAAAGGGAGAAGCTCACACACTAGCCTTATCAAAACCTTAGACAGGGTCTCAGCATGTAGCCCAGGTTGACCCGAGACTCCATCAACCTTCCTGTCTCACCCTCCTAAGTGCTGGGATTACAGGCGTGCACCACCATGCCTGGCCTAGGAAATACTACTTTAGGTAACGTTATTTAAAAATACTGGAACATTCAAGTGTAAACTACACGGTCCAAATATTTATGACCACTAAAACATGAATTTAAGTGACTACTAATGATTACATTAAATCTGAAAAGCCAAATAGCAAAGCCATTTGACTTCTACTTATGTCTTTGATTTGGAAGCCAATCTCATGAAAAAGCATCAAACACGAAGCATTCATTTCACGTGCGCATGCGCATTCCCAGTGCGCGGTCCTCCACGCCACTCACCGCGGTGGAGTGCTCCTTCTTTTCGTGCAGGCGGGCGCTCCGGCGCTCCTCAGAGTAGGCGTGTTGTTTCAAAGCATTGAAAACATGGTTTGATAGTTTTAAATCCATTCCAATTCCATCTCCTACCTGAAACCCGGGTGCAAACTGCCCAAAATAGAAGAATTAGCATCTAAATATTTTCAGACAAAGACCCTAAAACAAAGCAGTTTTTACTAAGAACAGATTTCATATTCTATATTGATTGGGCTACAAAAACAACCCACAGCTGTAGCAGAAGAAAAAAACAAAAACTCATTTAAAGATGAACAATGGTGGTTTTATTTATTTCTGAGACGGGCATCTCACTATGCAGTTCAGGCTGGGATTCCAGGTATGCACCACAACACCCAGCTCTAGAACACTACTTCTCTATAATTACATTTTATTTCTGATTTTGCAGGAGGCAGCTCAGACATAAAACAAAAACCTCTAGCTGAGGAATAGTTGAGTGGCAGAGTGCTTGCCTAGTAAACAACATGAGGCCCTACTTTCAATTTTCAGCATTAAAGAAAAAAATCCTAGGGGCCAGGGAGGTGGCTCAGTGGAATAAGTGCTTCCCTGGCAAGCGCAAGGGCCTGAGTTCAATCCCCGGTTCCGCAAAAAAAAAAAGAAAGAAAAAAAATCCTAAAGTATTTTTCACACCCATTCCTAGCCCCAGTAGCCACTGTTACCAGTTTCTTGGGTAGAGGGTGCTATTTTACAAAAAATAATATATAGAAAAACAAATGCTGTGTACGAACTGTTCAACTGAATCAATATAAATCAAATTAGTTTTCAAAGTACTGCTGGTACATTTTATTCTGAAGCACTTTATGTTTCTTTGGTGGCTGAGTTATCACAACTAAAATATCTTTAGGCAAGAGGATATCTGTAGAAAAATTTAAGACAATTTCTAACCCCGTTTTTTACAATGTCTTCATATACAACTCTCGAGGGACAGGAGGAATCTCTAACTCACGTTTTCCATTCTTGCTGTATTCTTCCTCCCGCACACCACTTCATCATGCTTGGTGGTGATGTCTTTTCCTTTTCCAATAAAACCCTTTCTGGGAGTGGGAACTGGTTTTGCTAAAGGCAATTAAAACAAGCCAAGGAAATGAAAATGGGGAAAGCTCAACGGCTCACAGGCCACGCTGAGCAGACATCGGGATCTAACAGCAAACCAATAAATGAGGTTCAAAGATGAACATAAAACCAAGAGTGCCGGGGAAAAGTCACCTTCCTACCCCTCAGAGATCCCTCATACCTGGCCTGTAGGGGTCGTCGCGAGTGTCCTGCCAGTCTACCTCATCTTCAGAGCTGTCACTGTCTTCGAAAGGATGTACTTTTCGGTAATTTTCGAAGGAAATGGAAACTGAAAAGGCAAAGAGAGCTGAAGATTTAGTAGCAGCATCGAGGGAGCTCTTCCTCCGAGCCACTGCAGCCATCACGAGGCCACTGTACCTTTGCTGTCACCATTGAATTTTTTTTCTTCTCGCCTCAGCTGGGCATCGTATTCTCTGTCAAACTCCATCTGCAGCATCTGAGCCAGCATCAGGTCGCTGGAAGTGTCAACATTCTCCCCCGAAATAAATGGTCCTTCTGCAACGCTGATCAAAGTAACAGAAAGGAGTTACCATGACACACTGGTGCAGACAGGGCCTGCAGACTGCGAGAGCAGGACACGTTGTGTTCGGGGAAACCCTGGTGCAGCCACGGGCAAGAGCCCTGCTAAGCCAGGATTCAACATCCACACCCGGAGAACACCAGCCAGCCAGGGTTAAGAGACCCAGGGGAGAAAGCTCAAAACCCGCTTGGAGACCTTGGAGACCTGGAGCACTTTCGTTTCAAGTTCTAATCAAGGGGTAGACAAAAACTGGTAAGGGTTGGGTGGGCATGGTGGTGCCCACATGTAACCTCAGCATTTGTGGGGCCAAGGCAGGAAGATTGAATTGAGTTCCAGGCCAGCCTGGGCTACACAGCTAGACCCAGTCTCAAAAACAAAGCAAAACAGGAATACTGATGGAAGAGATGTACTATAAACACTTGAAAACTACACCTCATCTAGTTCAATTGCTGCATTAACCTTGATTTACAAAACCCACAGAGCCACTGTGCAGACCAATACAACAGCTGATACACTGTGTCAGCTAGAGAAGTCTGGAAGCTTAAGTGACTCAGCAGATCTACACCCCAGTGACACAACAGGACACACCTCTTACTGTCCATTGTGTCAACTTGAGAAGTTTAGAAGGGTAACTAAGTGACTCAGCAGGGGGTGGGGAGGCCTCACTTTGTAATATCCGGAGTCCTACATGGGGGGACAGCATACAATATAAGGGAGGAAAAGAGGCCTGTTGGCTCCCTTTAGCTCTAGTTTTTTGTTTTGTTTTTTCCATTTATGTATTTGGTACAGTGTCTCACTAGGCAGCTCTGACTAGTAGTGATTCTCCCCAGGCTGTTTTCAGCCTCCCCAGCGCTGAGATTACAGGCGTGTACCACTCTGGTTGCTTTTGTCATCTTCTGCAGCTTTGAACTGCTGCCCCTGTGCCACCCTACCCTACCTTGGAGGCATCTGATTACAGGCTAAAACCTCCACAAACTGTGAGCTAAATAAACTTTTCCTTCCATAATTTTGGGAATTGGGTATTTTGTCTCAGCAACCACAGAAAAATAACCAACACAGTCAGAATGGAGATAAAAAGAAAAAAAAAAAAAAAAACTACAAACAAACAAACAAAACCCCTGAAACTAGAAATTCCATCTGACCCAGCTATTCCCCTACTAGGTGTCTTCCCAAGAGAATTAAAGACATATTAAAGTGCTACATGCACACCCATGTGTATAGCACAATTCATAATAACTACATCTTAGAAGCAACCTATATATCTATCAACAGAAGAGTGGATAATGTGGCATTTGCCCAGTGCTACTCTGCCATAAAGAAACAAGACTCACTTGTTGGAAAATGGATCCTCCTTGAGCCGGTGATGGTAAGTGACACAAATCAGACCCAACATTTAAATATCACATGGTTTCTCTTATCTGAGAAGCCCCAACATAAACAAAGAGCAGAATAGTAGATAGATAATGAAAAGTCAGAAGGCAGATCTTTCTGAAAGAGGAAAGGGATCAAGAGATGGAGGGAAGGGCTAGGAGTGAAGAAAGGATCTAGGATGTGTCCTGTATACACAGCAAGCCAACACAAGGAACGTAGATGTCAGCTTTTCCAGCAGCATGAAGAGACAGGAAGGATCAAAGAGGCCTTTGCCAACTCTGAAGATGCGGAGAAAATCCCAGGGAGATGAGAATGAGACTTTATGGTTCGACAGGTGGAGTTCGAGGGGCAGGTTTAGTGACACCTAAGGAGCTGACTGGGGTCTCCCTTGTGGTGCGGGAAAGGGAAAGGAAACTGTATCTGGGACTGGGGTGGTGAGAAGGAGGGAGTGATCATTGGGAAGATAAACTTGTTTTGGGGTTTCAGCCATGTTAGATGACCACCATAATAATTCTAGCAAACTATACTCGGGCCAGAACCCATCAGTAAGCATTACAAATTTCCAACACATACCAAAAAATAAAAAAGGCAATCACTAGATGGGTGGACACCAGCAGTCAGGAGGTTGAGGCAGGAGAATGGAATTCAAGGCCATCCTGGACTTGTTCAAGGACAGCTTGAACTACAGAGTGAGACCCACTCTCCAAAAACAAAACCAACCAGGTATAGTGGCACACACCTGAGATCCCAGCACTCAGAAGGCTGAAGCAGGACGACTGCTGTGAGCTGGAGGCCGGCTGGGGCTGCATGAGTTCAAAGACAGCTTGGACTACAGAGCGAGACCCAGTCTCAAAAAACAAAATGAGGGCCAGTGAGATAGCTCAGGGGACTAAAGCGCCTGTTTAGGCAAGCAAGGGACCATGGTTCAATCCCTAGCACCACATGCCACACAAGCCAGGCCCCCTAGGGCGGGCTGAGCCCGCCTGAGTCCGGGTGTGGTGGCGCATGCCTATAATCTCAGCACTAGGGAGGTTTCCTTCCCTTCCCTCCCTCTAATATATCATTCTCCCCCCAGGTGTTTTAAGACAGTTTCAACATGTGGTCGAGCAGGAGGATCACTATGAGTCTAAGCTGTGCCTTGTAAGATCCTATAACAACCAAATACATTAAAAAAAAAAAGAAAAGAAAAAGAAACAAACAAAATAGAGGAAGGATAAAAAATGAATTAAGATGTATAGCATTATGCACATGTACCAATTCCCCACAAGGAATAGAAACATTACATATGGTAAACATGGACAAATAGAACAACAAATGGAAAGGAAAAAAAATGAACAGAGAAACTGTAGGTTATCCAAGATAATAAATATAGGCCCCGGACCATCAGGGTTTCAGATTTCAGACTCAGATTTTACAACCTCTGTAGTCTTTCAGGGCTGAAGATTCCTAATCTGAATGTTCAAATCAAAATCTGAAAGTTTCTGAGAGCCCTAAATTTTAGGGACGCTCACCCTGTTACAGGATAGGGACCAAACTTCAAGTAGCCGCAGCCTCCCCTTTGGCTCACTTTCTACCACACCGTGTTTTGTAAATCTATTTCTTCATCACTTGTCACATTGAATCCCAAAGCTTTGTTACAGGAAACTGCTAGACCCAAAAAATCCTTGGAGAATTTTACTTACGCAACTTCAGGGAAAGCAGCAGCTTCTTCTTCTAACTGTAGTTCTTTAGCCAACTCCTCGCTCATTACATCGGACAAAGAGCAGGACATTGTCTTTTGAGGGTTGGCCCATGGACACTATGCAGTTAAAACAGAAGAAAGGTTAAAAGGATGCTCAATTTATAATAGTGAGTTTCTTTCTCTCTCTCTCTCCTTCCCTTCCCTCCCTCTAATATATCATTCTCCCCCAAGGTGTTTTAAGACAGTTTCAACATGTGGTCGAAGCTGGCTCACTACCCAGCCCAGACTGGCCTCAAATTCACGGCAATCCTGCCTCAGCTTCCTGAGTGCTGGGATTACAGGTATGCACCACCACCCTTGGCTGCAGATAAATAAAAACATCTCCAGCTCAAATCTAAACAAGGATAAACACAAACTAAAATAGCCTGTGCACTGTGGCCTGCTTGGAAGCTGTGCTCTTGGGGGTGAGGGAAGCACCAGGCTACCAGCAGCCAAGGAGTCTGAGGGCCTCCTCTTGTTCCAACCGTCTGCTCCCCCTGCCTAGGGCAGGGCTTGCTGAGCAGAGCTTCCTGCGCTGCAGTGCTCTGGGCTCAACCAATTCTAAGCTCACCAGACAGGTCTCTTGGGGTTTTTTTGTTGTTTTTGTTTTGAAAAAGGGGCGTGTGTGTGTGTGTGTGTGTGTGTCCCACTCAGCCTGCCCAGCAGGCCCTGGGAGTGGAGTTGGTGTGACATGTGGTGCCAGGGATCAAATGTAGGTCCCTGTCCTTAGCCTAAGCTTACCTAAGCAGGCTCTTCAGACCTCTGAGTTATCTTGCCAGCCCTTGAGAAAGGAAGGGTCTTGCCATGTAGGCCAGCTGGCCTTGAACCTTTGTCTATCCTCCTGCCTCAGCCTCTGGAGTGCTGGAATTACAGGTGGGTACCACCATGCTTGGCCCAGTTCTCATTCTAATCTAAGCATTAAGTTCTAGCTCAGTGTCAAACCCTCTCAAGACATCACGGTATATGCTAAAACAAAGTAACAAAAATTAGATTTCTAAACTAGAATTCCAGAGACAGACTCAAACAATAAGGGTACAGCAAAGAACTGTAACTCTGAGCCACTTCAGCAGACACCTTCCACAACACCAATGTCTCACCCTTCTTGACACACAAATTCTAGGTTTATTTCACAACTGTCTCAAGTAACATCTAATCTCTCTGTTCCTTGCTTGTTTCCATCCTCCATACCACAACACGATGGTATTTCTAAAAATGCAGGTCTGATGGGCTCTGGTCCCTTAAGTCTCTTTTGTGGCTTCTCACTGCCTGTGATGATGCGTGGCATCTGTATTTCCCCGCCGCGAATCAGGATCGGTTTTGTCCCTTCTCTGAGGCTGTGGGGATGGGCCTGGGCCCTGGCACACACCTAAATTTACCACTTCAGGGTTGGTGCAGCCTCGGCCAGGGCCAGACCCAAGGAGCCAAGGAGGCCGCCTGCAGGTCTGGTGACTCCAACCCACGTGGAGCAAATCAGCCACTGAGGCTCGGAAGCCCGAAAACCCACGTGCTCTGGAATCTGGAGACCACTGCCAGGCTCTTGGTCACGGGACTCCGCTGGCTTTTTCCCACTCTTTAACCTAAATTTGCTTGTCCTGGACAGTGTCAAAGTCCAGGTTCCAGAGAGCCAAGGACTCTATCCTCCAACTCAGAATTCTCACTCACATTTGACAATGACTAAAGGCATAAGAGATAACATTTCAGCATTTCCTGTATTTAAATTGCCTGCCTAGCTATGTATAACTTATAGGCATCATTTAAATCCAACCACAACTGCAATATCATCTCCACTTTCATGGTGCAAAAGCCAAGACAAAGGCTTTTCTAACCCCAGGTGAGACTGCTTTCGGAAGTGTCCAGCCTTTAACCAGGGCAGGAGGATCCTACCGCCTGAAGTTCCTGTAGCCACCCCGCGGGAGATGAGATGCACTCGGCTTCCTGCCAGCAACAGAAAACCCAAACTCCCCTGCACAGAATGGCCTTCACCACCGCCCCACGCTGGCTTTCCTGTCCTGCACTCCAGTGACACAAACCACTCACTAAGCTTGCTAGCCTCACCCCCGCAACACACAATTTTTTCCTCTCTGAAGGTCTTCCCCCTTTCTATTTACACCAAATAATGTCAATTCCTCTGAGTCTGGGTCCACACAATCAGACAAAGCTGGATCTTCTCCCTGTTCCCACTTCCTAGGCCAATACTCCCTGTGGACCTTCCACTAACTAGGGGCCACGCACCCCACGACAGAGCAGGAGTCCGTGGAAGGGTGGAGTCCATCATGCTCACTGCCTGCCGTAGTTTCCAATGAGAAGAAGCACTCAATGCTGGCCGAGGTGTCCCAGCTCAGCTGAGGCCCTCTCCTGAGGCTACTTCCACTGGAGGAAGTTCAGTAAGGGAACATTCCAGAAGGGTAACAGCCCCACACTTGGAAATGCAGCCAAACACTTAAATCTGGCTACCCAAAGCCTCCCACACTTCCCAGGCAGTGTGGGTACCAGCTTCAGGGGGCTTATACCCCTCCTGACCTTCCCCAGGGTACAGCCAGCTTGGCCCATGGAGTAGGGCTGGGAAAATTTAACCAAGGCTTCTGGGAAAGGCCCCAGGGTGCAGTGTGAAGAGCCCCGTCACCATCCCATAATCTGCAGTAAGTCAAACTCTTTGTTAACTCTGAAACCAACACAAGTTAGTGACCCAAGGCAACAGGAAAGCTCATCACCCTGTCCTATCCAGCTATCTGAGCAGCTCCTATGTCTTCAACCCAGACTCCCCATAGCATTAAGGTGAAGGGAAGCCCACGTGGTCCTCACTAAGGGCACCAAGAAACCTGTCGCCAGCGTCCAGTCTTTCTCCCCTGTTGCTGCAGGACCCTAAGCCTATTTCCATCTCCAAGAGGAAGCTGTCACCACCCAACTGTTTCTTCAGCTTCTCCGCAGGGCCACAATCTTCCACGCTTGCTGGTGTAAGGCACAGAGAAAACTAGGTCTTTCCTTCCAGCACCTAAGGGCACCCCTAGTTACTTGTCTCACTCACAGAAGGGTTTTACTGAGGACAACATTGTTGAAGGAATCAGGTAAAATAAAAAACCTGAAGGAGGCGCATAACAAAAAGTCAGCTAAAGCACACAAAACCACACCCAAGGTCCCTTTTCTAGCCATACAGCTAGTACATATAATCCAGGTAGAGTAGCTGAGTCATTTTATAGCTGGGTGTGGTGGCACACACCTGTAATACCAGCACTCAGGAGACTGAGACAGGCAAATCACCATAAGGTCAAGGCCAGCCTGGGGTACCTAGTAAGTTCCAGGCCAGCCTGAAGTTCACAGTGAAACCCTGCCTCAAAAAAAAAAAAAAAAAAAAAAAGCAGCATTTCAGCATTTTGTAACTGGCACCCTGCATTTTCTAAAACTTTCTAGGGTAGCAAGTGTGTATTTTTAGGGTCTAATTCAGTTAGTTCTCAGTGTTTCTACTGTGCTTATATTTCCAATTTTCCATTATGTCTGCTATAATTACATACCTGTAAGGATGGTCTTTTGCATACACTTTAGCAAAATACACTAGAGCTCAATGAAAAAGTAGATCTGAGAATCCAGACATTTTCAATAAATGAGATATTAAAGAGATCTGCAAAAATGTAAAACAAGTGGCCGGGAATATAGCTCAGTGGCTCAATCACTTGTCTGGCAAGTGCAAGGTTCCAAGTTCAATTCCCAGGACCAAAAAAAGTAAAACAATACTATATACTAATTTTTAGGAGAAGGTTTTTAAATATAAAAGTGTTACTTTTATATTACTCTTAAGTGGCTTAACTGATTTTTAAATTTCTCAGTTTTAATATTTGATATGACAAATATCAATAGGTAGGACCAATATAAGCAAAAGTTCTTTGGAATGTTTAACGATTTTTCGAAACAGTCTTGCTATGTAGTTTGAGATTGGCCTTGAACTCACTATGTACGCCAAGCTGGCCTCAAACTTATGATGATCCTCGGGCCTCAGCCTCCCAAGTTCTGGGATCACTGGTGTGGGCCACCACACCTGGCTCAATGATTTTTCAGAGGATAAGTTTTGGGACTTGTTAGCCTTAAACATTCCTTCCAGTTTTCAAGTTGACCACAAGTCTCCATGTGGGTTCTATACTCCTTTGGGCTTTCCACAGGAGAAAGTTGAAAAAAGAAATAATATAGTACATTTGGCCTCTTTCAAATTATTTCACCTGTGAAAAACTCATCTTCCCACCTGACTATCAGTTAAATCCTAGAGCATATTTTTTTATTAAATGATGAAAGTGGAATTTTAGAGTTTTGATGTTCACTTAAATGAGAACATGACTAATCTAAAATATTTGTTAGTCTTCTAAGTGAAATTTGTTTTGAGACTAAGGTGTATTCAGGGCAGTTTGTCTCATTTCTACTTTAACTTGAAGAATTTAATACACAGAGTACATTATTAATAGTCTGTTATTAAGTTTGCCTACTGATCTTGATCATGTTAAAGAAAAAGTTTTAACAGGAAAAAACATAACATGTAGACTTAAATATACTTATCAGTGGAATAGATTCAGATTATTCCTAAAGTTGCATAAGAATTTTTACAAAGTCAACATTCCCTAATAGCCATTTATCCCTTTTCTGGTAAGACTAAGAGTAAAAGACCCACAAGATTAACAGGTGAACTTTCAGGTAAAACAAGTGCTCCGTGTTAGTAAGCAAAAGACAATGATGAAGGTTGGAAATGAGCTGGCTTCCTTCTCAACCTTAGCTTAGGAACACAGATCTCCAAGGGGCACTCTCGCTCTCAACTGAGCCCTCAGCGCAGAGGATGAGGCCCTTCCATCCTCCTCATGAGAATACGGAGAGGAGGAGCCTGAAAAGAAAATCTAGAAGTGAGGTACAGGCGTTGTTTGCCATTCCAGGAGAAAGTTTGAATGGTAAAGCCCAGACGGATCATGAAAGTCAAACACGTAGCGTACAGTTCAGTATTTGCGTTGAAGAGGGACGGTGCGCCTAGATTTTATCTTTACTATTTCAAAAACAAGAGATTACCGAATTGGCATAACAACATTTGTCAAATTAAGGAAGCAGTATCCTAAATCAACTTTCTGTCTCGCTTTTTCTGCGTGTTGGGCTGACTCAGCCCGTGAAAAATAAGATCGCGCTTCTTGCCCTCCAGTGCCAGCTTCTGCACGGAGCGTTCTGCTCAGTATGTGCCACCAAGATTCAGGAAGACAGGTGAGGATGTGAAGTCAGACCTCAGCCCACCTAGCGCGGCCTCCGACAGCCCCGCCGCCTCCTCCCACCAGCCTGCCCCTTGCTGCGGGTCGAGGTCTTGGCGGCCCCGTCCCTAGAACTTCCCGCACCCCTCTCCCGGCAATTCGGGAGAAGACGCCCTGGCGACCAAGGTAGGTTCGCCTCCCCTCGACCACCACTCACCTTGCTGGGTTGCCAGGCCGCTGCCGGCCTTGGTTCCGGGGACGCTACTCCCACCAGATCCATTGGAGAAGAAGACGGAGACAAGAAGAGAGCGGCGAGGGGGCAGGACGCGACGCAGGGCCCGCCGAGACGGGAAGAGTAGCAGTGACCGGCACGGGAGCCGGACTTTAGGTGACAGATGGCGGCGGAGGCCGCCGCGACCGGAACTAGACTCCTTCTCTTCCGCCCTCATCTTGAAGGGACTCGCTTCTGATTGGTCAACTGACCTTGGCCCCGCCCTAAACCACCTTGCTCCGCCCCCTGGAGGGCCGTATTTCCGGTCTCTGCCCACTGGGCTAGGGCAGTAGGTCTCCGCGGGCGGTGCCCGCGGTCTCCGAGTGCGGCGTCCCCTGGCCCAGGTTCTACCCGGTCCCCGCCCTGCCTGCCTCTTCCTGCCTCCCTGGCAGCACGCGACAGCCACTGGATCTAATAGATCGGACTATGGGGACTACAAATAAACCTGACTGTTTAATTCTAAACTGGGATGATTTGGGAGACAGAATAATCTCTTTTTGAGGGGCGGGGGAGGGCGTACCGGGAATGAAACTCAGGACACTGCATTTGCCAGGCAGACGCTTATGCCGCTGAGCTATCCCCCGACCCTTGGGAGACATAGCGTAATGGAAGCAGGGCAGGGGATGGGGGCTGAAGACTGACAGACAGCTGGAGTGATTGCCTCTGTATTTTGAGGGAAGGGTGTGGAATATGGAAATCTGTAAAACTGTTAAAGACATGGAACAAAAATAAAGACCTTATGATAAAAAGTTTGGATTCTGTAGTTTGTAGTGAAACTTTCATAAACTGGCTAGGTTAAAATGCCTAAGCTTGCCCGGGTTCAGGCAGTTCAGAAAGACGGCGTAACAGAGCTGCCCCGAGAGCTCACCTCCAAGCCTGGACCCCTAACTGTCCGTGATTGCGAGCCTTACCACGAAAACCTTGATGACTCCATCACCACAGCCCTTGCCGCCTTCTCCTTCCAGGCCAGAACATGTCCTGAATCTTAGGGACTCCCAACTGAAATACTGGAATCTGTGGCCGCATCTGCAGAGGTGGACCTGTGCTCAGCAGGTGCTGCCCGTGCCTGGGTGCATGTGGAAATGGGCTCTCCTCTTAGTGGCCACAAAGTTATCGTTGTAGCAAAAATAGTTGAAGGAGAGTGGGTGTAACCAGAAATGAAAGGGCCTCTCAATTCGGGGTAAGCAACAGGAGAGAGAAATTATTGGAAGTTCCTTTTAGTTGACCAAGAATGTCTGACGAGTCGGAAAAAGAGCAAACCCAAAAGAAAAGCCGAGAAGCCATGTATGACCAACATGCACTGGTAAGGGACTATTTGGAGGACATGCCAGAAAACATTGAAAATAAAACAGAGAATTTAAACACTCACTTTAGATTGTCTGCTAAACAAATTTCCATCCGGTTTTTATTTAGGTCCCTAACAATAGAGTGGTAACTATGAATAAAAGCAGGTCCCTGCCCTTGGATAGCTCGAGGTCCTAACCATAAGCACATTAAAATGTCAGCAGTTCATGATGACATTGGATGGTAGATAACAAAGCACACTGCATCAGACCACAGCAGAAAAGAGTGGTCAGGATCTAGTGTGCAGCACAGACAAAGGACATGACTGATTTGGAGAATGCAGGGAAGTACCAGGACAAGAAATTTAAGAAGGATTTTTTTTTTGGGGGGGGGCTGGCCCAGAATGCCTTCAGGGCATGTTTGGCTGGCTGGAGTTGTGGGAATCGAACCAGGACAAGAGATTTAAAGGTAAAGGTCTGTAGAGCTGGGAGAATAGTCTGTGAAGAAGAAGAATAGTGTTTTCAGAGTTGCTTGCTAGAAAGGTATTTCTGACAGTTGTTTGGAGGATGGATTGGAGCAGGTAAGACTGGAGACTGGAAAATCTGATTAAGGAGAGTTGCCTGCACATTCCATAAATGTACTAATGTCTCCAGTCTAATTTCAAGTCTTAGAATTCTTCAAAAGTATTTTTAGATGACTTGGGTTATTCCAACTCTGATCTTGTTTTGGGTTGGTTTGGAGTCAGGATGCTGGTGTTGGTAGTGGGTTGTTAAGTCTACAATCCCAGCACTGGGGAGGCTGAGGCAGGAGGACTGCCATAGCGGCCCTTAGGCCCATGTGATTTCATAGTGGATCTGTACATGAGGCCAGACCATTTTGCTGTGGAATAAACACAATGATTAGAATGGGTCTGGCTTCAGCCTTTTCCTTCTGCCATTTCTGCTGATAAACTCACTAGAGCTCAGCAGAAACAAAACTATTTGAGAATTTGCACTGAGGGAACACACGGGGTCAGGAGCTTCTCTGATCTCTAAAGAGAAAAAAAAAAGAGGCTCTGTAGTTCTTAATATTGAAATGAATTACATTTATTTTGCAAGTAGCTGTTTTAGGCAATTAAATATTAATTAGCTGCCTAGGCTACACCTAACATCTTGTGGGGGAAACACAGAATGAAGAGGTCACAGTTGGAAGGACAACATGCACATGCCACAGGAAACAACAATACACTTCTGTCTTGAAGAGTGCATGATTTATTCCCAGATGACACACAGAGATGATACACATTTTGGGATTCTGGTTGGTTGTCAGTATCTAGGAAGGTTGCATGATAGATGTGTCCACCAAACCAGGCCATGAAGGTCAGAGGGTCTTGATAAACCTAGTCTAGGTGAAAATGGCCATCCCTGTCAGTTTTTAAGGGGAATTTAGATAGACTTCAGTTGATTTGATTTCATTCAATTGTCTTTTTGTGACAGGGTCTCATTATGCAGTTCAGGCTGTCCTTGAACTCACTTTGTAGCCCAGGCTGGTCTAGAACTCCACAATGATCCTCCTGCCTCAGCCTCCCAAGTGTTGGGATTACAGGTGTATGCCACCACACCTGACTCTACATAGCTTTTAAAAGTATGGCGTGTCAAGCGCTTGCTTAGGCAAGCACAGAAATCTGGGTTCCATTCCTGGTACCACATACCAGGCAGGCAAGCCCCTGGGTGCCCTGATCCAGCCACTGAGACGGGGGTGGCAGTGCATGCCTTGTAACTCCAGCGCTGGGGAGGCTGAAAACAGGAGGATCACTATGAGTCTGAACTGGGTAGTGAGACCTTGTGCCAAATACATAATTTTCTTTTAAAAAAGTATGGCAAGTCTTCAAAAAAAATCAAAGATAGAAATTCTATTTGACCCAGCTCTTTGGGGTATCTTTCCAAAAAGAGTTAAAGATTTCATACCACAGTGATGCATGTATGCGTATCCATGTTTTTCTCAGTGTAATTCATAATGGGTAGCTTTGGAAGCAGCCTCCATCTGTGAACAGATGAGTAACAAAGAAAAGGAGACATTTGTGCACAATGCAGTACTACCCTGGCACAACGAAGGACGAGCAAGTCGTTTACAGGAAAATGGGCGCAACTTGCGATCATAGTGTTAAGTGACATAAATGAGACACATAAGCTTCTGCATGGTTTCTCTGACCTGAAAAAAAGAGACTACAAGACAACAGGCATAATAAGAAAAAGAGAGGAAATAAAGTTATTGTAATTCGGCATGGACAATGTATCTAAAAGTGTACTTTGACCTAGTGCAATTGTCTTACTTGTTTTATATGCTCTTCTGACTATTGATGTGGTTTTCACTTTGTACATGATAATTAGCTCTATCAGATCTGCGATGGATGCCAACTGGTGTGCAACTTGTTACGCACAGCTGAATTGAACTAGCGTGGTGCTGGGTGAGGGAGGCCCACCTGAGGTTGTGGCCAGCAGAATAAGAGGTGGAGCTGCAGAAGCTGTAGAGGGGCTGTTGGGGAAGCTGTGCGAAGAAGCTGCTGGAGCTGTTGGGAGCTGCTGGTCCTATTGGGCTCTTCAGCTGGGGGAACTCTTCATGCTAGCTTTCTTGAAGAATTCAGCTTTGCTCATCCTCTGAGGAGCTCGAGACCTCACTGTCACTGAGGATGGTTGTGGTACTTTTCAGGGGAGCTCTGGTGCTTACCTTGAGCATCACTTCCTGGCTCCAGGGCAGATCCCTCAGCCTTCTTGCACAGATCCTTTATTCTGCTAGCATGCATTTTCTAGCTTCCACCTCTGAACTTCGGGCCTTCCCAGTGCAGATCCGTGAAGGGATCTAGGCCTTCAGTAGGACTTGTGGGAGGCATTGTTATGGGCTCTAGGTCTTCAGCTAGACTCATGCAGGGTATCAGGATCCTGGCTTTCCACTGGGTTCTCTGGTCTTTAGCATGTGGACAGATTTCCTGCACTCTCTTTGTAGATGATTCTCTCTTTTTAAAAAAATTCTTATTTTATTTTACTTTTTTTTGGTGGAACTGGGGATCGAACTCAGGTCCTTGAGCTTGCCAGGGAAGTGCTTATTCCACTGAGCCATCTCCCTGGTCCCTGTAGATGATTCTTTGGGTGATTCATTATAAAATAATCTTATAAAATATGTCATATTGTATTGTTCCTCCTTGCAAAACCCCAAACTAAGACAAGGTCTTATAAGTAAGTGAATCTGATGCTGAAAAATGAAATAGGGGTAAAAGGAAGGTGGATTAAAAGTATTGAAGTTTGCTATGTATATGTCTCAATTTCCTATAGTGAACATAATTATGTACTGTAAATATGTATTAATAAAAGTCAAAAATAAAACAAAAAGGGCTTTCTTTCCTTCATTCTTTTCGTACTATGTAGTTCAGGTCAGCCTTGAACTCCCCATGTAGCCTAGGCTGGCTTCAAACTCAGCTCCATCCTCCTGCCTCTGCCTCCTGAGGGCTGGGAATACAGGTGTGTGCCACCATGCTCAATTTATAATGCTTCTATCTTTGAAAAATTCTCTGTGTGTGCTGCCTTTAAAAACCTATTACTGAGACTTGATCAGAATCCTGTCTTGTCTCCATTTCTCGCGTCTCCTGTCCTTTGTCCCCTCAATTCCCTGCTCCTCTCCCAGGTGACCTTCGTTGACTGACCCGCTGGTTCAGGACAAGTGGTGCCCAACGGATGGGGCACCTGGTACGGAGGATTCAGTGACGGAACTGTCCGAGAGAGC